AGGAGAGGAGAGGAGAGGAGAGGGAGAATATGAATCGATAGGCAGGAAGAGAGAGAGAGAGAATGAATGAGAGAATGAATGTGTGTGTGTGTGAGTGATCAACAGGCAGGAACAGAGAAACTCCCTCCCAGTCTCATGGTGAGAATACCAGTCTCATGGTGAGAACATCTTGCTGAGTGTGGCATCTCAGGTTTAAAGATACCCTCTGCCTTTTTCATGCCATATGGCCCCTAAATGCAAGCCAATTAGTTCATCTGGAAGCTAACTGAAGAAACGACAATTTTGCTGACGCTGGAAGGAAAACTGGCTGTTAGCCGTATTGAGACTTAGTGCATGTGAACACTGTTTCATGGGTGATGTGAGGGATTTCCCCTTCAGCATCCTGTGAAGCGTAGCTGGCCCTAGCATGGACTCACCTCTATGTAACCTGCACACAACAGTTGCAGTGAGGAGGAGGAGCTGCGCTCAGGGAAGATGCCCACCCCAGCCCTCCAGTGCAGGGAGGCCCTGGCTGAGAGGAAGGGCCCCGCACTCACTTCTGCTGGTCCTTCATGGTCTCAATGATGCTCCTCAGCTCGCGGACCTGCGTCCTCAGCTCCTCCAAGGCTGCCTGGCTGCTGGCTGCAGGCTCCGTCTTTGGTTTTCCTTCAGTGCCAAACAGAGACGGGGAGTTGGCTCTGTGTCCGGCTGTTCCCAAAGAGGATGACAGGGAGGAGGGCACTGCTGCTGCCAGTGGGGCTGGCCCGCCGCCGCCTGCAGCCATGGCCCCTGGCTTGGGTGGCAGGGAACCTTTGTTGTCGGACACCTGTGAAAGAGGAGGAGAGTGGGCTAGAGGCAGGAAACCATGTGCTCTATGGGCCTCCCCATCCCCATTCTCTCCACAGCGACTACTCATCCCTTCCTCTTTATGGCCACCAAGAACCCTCTCAGTGCTCTCATCCAGGTCTTTATGTTTGCCCACCTCTTTGGACGAGAGTTCTGTATAACCAAACTAAATGGCTTAATGTAAACACAGAGTTAAGCTACACATCAGTCTCTTCCAAATCGGAACAGAGCAAGCCAGTCTCCTGGCCTTCAAGGAGTTCAGAACCCAATGAGGCACAGACAGACAGGCATCATCCTTTGGAAGATGAAGACGACGGGCCAGAGGCAAGGAGGCAGGCAGAGGGAGCAGTGGGGATCCATGAAAGGGATCAGTTCCCCCAGGGAGGAGCTGGGGGACGACTGGAAGGGACCAGAAGAAAGGAGAAGTGTGGCAAGAAGGGTGTTCTCCACAGGACCAGAGAGCAGAAGAGCAAGGAAGCAAATGGCTCAGCAGGGCTAGAATGTCAGAATGCAAGACAGAGGTGAGGTGAGTACTAGAAGGAGTGTGTTAATGACTTAAAAAGATCGTGTGTCAAACTACACTGCACTGACTGTAGAAGGGTCTTAAGGTTGACAGGGAGACCAGCTGAGAGACTCTCGAACAATGGAAGGTGGAAATGGTAAGGGCTGGACCCACGTGGTGGCCAAGGGGATAGGAAAAGAAGAAAAAAACCCCCACAACTTTGAGAGCAGCAGGCAGCACGCTCATCCCCTAGACTTCTGTGGGCTGCTTTGGATTCCAAGTGGGGACTGGGCTATTCATGCCTCTTGGAGCCAACACCCCTCAACTAGCAGGATGTGGGAGTGAGGAGAAAAGGGGTCAAGGAGGATTGGGGGTGAGGAGGATGGGAAGGGAGGTGGGTGGGGAAGGAGGAGGACGAGGAGTAAAGAGGACAGAGAGGAGGGTAGGGAGCAAGGAAGATGTGGGAGTAAGGAGGACGGGGAGGGAGGTGGATGGGCAGTGTGGAGGATGGGGAGTAGGGAGGACAGGGAATGAGGAGGATGGGGAGTGTGGAAGATGAGGAGTGGGGAGGATGAGGAGTGTGGAGGACAGGGAGGGAGGAGGTCGGGGAGGGAGGAGGATGGGGAGGGAGGAGGACAGGAGTGAGGAGGAGGGGGAGGGGCTGCACCTCAAGGCCATGGGGGGACAGAGGAACTGGCACTGAGATGCACCTTCTTGGCAGGAAAGGCTGCCTGAAGGCCGGGCTGATTTCAGTTTTAGGGACGTGGAGGTTTTGGAGCCCCAGGGACAGCCAGCCTGTGGAGAGCGAGCTTGACCAGAGCAATCAGCGAGAGGAGGAAGCCAGGGGCTGCATACAGGGAAATCAAAGAGGAGTGTGAGGCTCTCTGGACTTCAGAAGTGGGGTACAGTGGTGAGAGAGGATGAAGAAAGATCAGTCAGGAGAGCAGTCTGAGTATGGAGCCCCAAGAGAAGTTTCTAGAAAGGAAAAGATGGCAGGGTACATAGGTTAAGGTGTGAAAAGTAAAACTCCTCCTCAAACCTCATTTGCAACAAGTAAAAACCTTGGGGAGGCCATTTGGTGGGACACAAACTGGGGACTCAAACCTGACTATGGCAAGTCTGTGCTCATGGGAGTAACGGGTGAGGCCTGCAAGTTCAGAAACTCAGCTGAGGAGGGAAGACAGAGGTGGGAGAAGAGCGTGGCCACGCAGAAGTCTCAGGAGATGAAATTAAGGAAGGGCTTTGTTTGCTTTCTAGGATTATTTGCTGAGAGGAAGAGCCACTGGAGGGGCTGAAGACTGAGACAAAGGGAAAGGACTATGTAGAACTATCCTGAGGAGGCCAGTAGGGGACAGGCAGACAGTCACAGGGCTAGAGGCAGGAGCACGCAGGGGCACCTGGCGGGCTCAGGAAGGACATGGAAGGGAAACCGGCAAGCCAGAGGGTGGAGTGAAAGCAGTGGGCTAGGATGGGACAAGTGTGCATGACGGGGAGAGGTTGGAGCTAGTGGCAAGGCTTAGCACCACCAAATGCCCCACCAGCCACGCCAGGACAGGAGCCAAGAAGGGGCTGCCATGGTGGGGAGGGAGAGTGACTCCACTGTATGAGGGAGAGAGGCCTGGTAGAGGCAGTGAAGGCAGATGGCCGTCGTTCCCAGACTTGCTGTTTGCCCATCCGCTGCCCACTTTTTCCTCTGCCAAGTTATCACTGAGGAAAGTGCGCTTGGCAATCCAGCTACGGGCGCCTCCATGCTAGCAGAAACTAGGGGTCCAAAGGAAGGAAAAGGAACTGACATTGATACCGGCCACAGACCCGACGCTGAGGGATAGACAACTCAAAAGAGGCTCATCAATCCCTCATGTTTTACTGAGGAAACTGGGCCTAAAGACATGGGTGAACCACCACCTTAAGTGCCACAGCTAAGAACTGACAAAACAATGCGGGTTCAGTCTCCTCTATCACCCAGACCACTCACACCCAGTGGGACTGCTGCTATGGTCTCTCCTGTCCCCATCTCCCTTATTTCCTACTTCTGGGCGCCTGCTTACCACTCTGCATAATTCTGTATGTAAAGTGTCTCTTAGCTTTTTATATTGTTGTGTACCATCAAGTCAAAACCAACCCATAGCTGACCTGCCAGTGGGTTTTCAGAGGCAGTAAACAGCATGGGAAGAAACGGACCATATTTCTCCTGTGGAGCTTCTGGTGGATTTGAACTGCACACCTTTCTGTCGGCAGTGCAATTCTGTACCACTAAGCCACCAGAATTCACCATGTATACTTCTGAACTTGTGCCCTTATATGATGATCTGGGCAAATCTCAAATAGACTCTCTTTGCATTTCCTACAGGATTCACTCTCCTGGCCCCATGTAGCTAATTTCTCTCCCCCCTTTTCTTGTTGTGTACCTTCAAATCGGATCTGACTGGCACAGAAGATTACCCCTCCTCCAGCTGCGCATCTGGTGGATGCACTTTCGGGATTGCAGCGCAGCTTCTTGCCCCTAGGCCACCAGAGTTCCCTGTGCAGCTAACTGTTATAAGGTCTTGAAAGAGTATGGCTACTGTTCTTTCTGATCAAATTCGCTCAGGAATAATTTCTAGATGTACAGGACAGTATGACAGGACAACTCTGGGGAAGTCAAGCTGCCAGAATGGTCGGTGTGCCCAGCAGAGGTGTGCAAGGCGGATTTCCACCAGTAGGTGTCACTGTAGACACATTTCAGGGACATCAGAGACCAGGTCTGTAGGCACATCTCCTGAGGCACCAAAAAGACCCAGGCTAAGCCCAATTTCTGCAAATGGAATAATCTAATAAAGGGATTCAGTTGTGTGAATAATTACAATTGATCAGTTTAATAGGATCATATTTTCCCACTGTATCATATTTTTATAAAAATTCATACTTGCAAAATTCTCAAGTCTATGAGAAGGAAACTCCCACATACCTTAAATTTCTTCAAATCCTGCTTTAAATGCCTGACAATAGGTAAAATGAACTAATACTAATGGAAATGACAATTTCAGGGAGGGACAAGCGAAATAACATTGTGGGTATTATAATGAATGTTATATAAAAATGCAATTTGTTTCATAAACTTTAACTCAACAATAATAAAAAGCACAGGAAAACTGGGGAGAGTGACTATGGTCTTCTACTTTTTATTAAAAGACACTGCCAGTGCTTATGGAACAATTAATCTAATTGAGTCAGTTCTTTTGAGAAAATAGTAACATTTCGGTTGGTATTAGTAGGAAGAAGGGCACCCCCATAGGGTGCATTTTCAAAGCCACACTACATAGCAAAACAATGTTTTCTAAACAATGTTTTCTTTATTCCTCATAAAGTAGTCACTTAAAATAGCTATTCTATTCTCTAGATATGCAGCAAAGTGAAAATGTTTTCTGATGATAAAATGTACCCTAAAATCAAAATGAGTTTTTCAGGTGATCCTATTTGTTATTTGTATTTACTATTTGCCCATCATCCTTTCCAAGCTTTAAAGACTAAAGTAAAGATCAGTGGGCAGACAGACAGTATTGGACGTCATTAATGTATTCTTTCTAGGTACCTGGAGGGTTTGGAAGTGGTTTTGGCTGGTGTCGCTAAGAGGGGGCTGCTGGTGTTGGCTGTGGTGCTGTGTGTGCCCCACGGGTACTATTAGTACATGTGTGTTTGACAGAGCAGAGGGAAAACACCATGGGAAATACACTTGTGCTGCAGGGATTCTGGGCGGCTCTGTAACATGCCTCAGGGAGTCCGAAGACCACAGTTGTGGCCATCGCCGAGCAATGACAAGCTTGCACTTTCTGCCCACCCTTGTTCAGTCTACAACAACCCCCCCCCCCATATGGGGATGGACAGGAAGAGAAGAAGACAGGGATTCTGTGTGTTTAAAGACAACTGGTCACTCACTTGGGATATGGTAACAGTCTTGGACGTTTTCTTTGATGCGTCTGCTCCTCTGTGCACAAGTGAAACGTGTTCCTCTCTGTCTTCTTCGGGACTTGGAGAGTCAAAGATATCAGGGCTTGAGAGGGATGACTAGACAAGGCCAAAAGAAAACACAGTCAGAATGACACCACTACAGCTTCTGTTAGCACAAATCCCAGGACTACATAGTTTTCAAACAGCTCTCTGGTCTAGTAGATTAGGCACCAGCTATTGGTGGAAAGGTCAGTGCTTCAAAGCCACCAGTTGCTCCAAGGGAGAAAGATGTGGCAGTCTGATCTTGCAGAGATTGAGGCCTGGGGCACCCTACAAGGTGGTCGCTATGACGCAGAAATGACCCCACAGCAGTGAGTTACATTTTTCAGGGCTTCTGTTCTGTTTTCCAAAAATGATCTTGGGGGTAGAAAGTATACTGCTATCTGTCTGCTGGCGACAGTAGCCCAGCTGGTGAGAGAGGAACTGAGATTAGAAGCCAAGTTTCCTAAACACGGGATCTTTCCACTGATGCTTCTCCATTAACTCACTCATTTCACTGTCCATCTTCCTATTTTCTCCCTCCTGCCCCCTTTCCAGAAATATCTGCTACTGTGTGCCAGGCACTGAGTGTGGTACTGGTTTCAGATATCCTAGGCTGGACAATTGAGTCCAGTGGGGAAGGACAGATCGGCTAACAGGAGGCTGTCTCTAGCCATCCTCCACTACACCCTCTACCACTCCTTTTCTGGAATCACGCAATCTGCTGCCTTCTGAAGAGCCCTGAAAGGAGCTATCTGGAGGGTACCTGCCTCTAGGGGTCAGGAGTTACAGGCCACTGCCCAGAGCCCAGAGCCTATTTGCACAGGCCTGTCCACCAGCTCAGTAAAAACACCACCTTCACTACTGATGGCCATCAATATCTACTTGGGAGGCTACATTTGCGGAGAGACACCCCAAAAATGGCATCTTGGTGGTAAAATATCAGGCTAACATACCTGTCCTCTCTGCCTCATGGAAAAGCTAAAGTAAACTGGATGAACGTGAGCCGTTTCGCCGGATTCACATAGTCGTAAACTATTACTGCATTTGTATCTTCCTTTTTAAGATCAAAGCAGATAAAAAGAAGAAATCCCAAAGCATAGCAAGGATTCTTGTTGAACAGAGGTGCTCCCAGAGAACCTCTGGGGGAGCTCCCACTGAACTTCACCTCTGAGCTGTCTGTCCCCTATGAGAGGATCATCCTGACTGGAACCAGCACCAAGAGAAAAGAATCAAATCCAGTGGTGCTTTTTAGAGAATTTTTTTAAGCAAAGTGTTACATTTAAGAGGTCTTGCTTGCAAATTTTCATTTAATCTGTGACTCTATTTACCTGGAATACGCTCCCCCACTGCGAGGTTTCCTATTAATCTATCATAACTGCTTAACCACCTTGCAATGCCTGAGTCATTTGGTTCTTCAATTCATTAAAAAAGCCAGCTTCCTCCTATCCAGCCAATGAGCTGCCGATCACTGCTTGCTCTTTGAATCCTATAAAGGTAAACAGCTCTAATAAGGGCAAGAGGCCACGATCTGGGGCATTTCCTCAATCGTTTTCTCCAGTGGCTATTTATGAAATCTGCCTGCTTCCAGTCATCCCATTTGGCGATGAAAAACCTATAGGTGCTAGTTGCGACAAGAGTAAATAGGAATTCAATGTAGACACTCATCAGGGACAGAGCGAAAGGAAAAGAGGAGAGTGGAATAATTCCATTTCTTGAAAGCACAAATGTACCCTGTTAAGCGTGCAGATACAATAACTCCATAGAAAGCCTTAAGTCACTGTGCCTCCCGTGGGCCAGGACCATGGACATCTCCCTCCCATCGTGGCCCTGGGGATTGGCACAATGCAGAGTACAGAGCAGGCAATGCCAAGAAATACTGGTGAACGACTCAACAAACTCTGTAGTCTAAAAGCAGAGTGAAGACAGCCTGCAGTAAAGGTACTGCGTTCCCTAAAACACACAGGAACTACCATATATGGCCTGTGTGGATTAAAAAAAATCCTCCAACCCCCCCAAAACACACACTGAGTCAGACTTGACTCTAAGCTGACCTCCCACTGGGTTTCTGAGGCTGTAAAGCACAGGAGGTAAGACTGCCCATCTTTCTCCCCCAGAACCTCTGCAGCAGCACTTCCTGAGACTACAAGGCAGTGCACACACTTCCTCTTGTGAGAGGTCACACATCACCTCTGTGGAAAGTCTGCAAAACTCAGGCAAAAGTGAAGCCTGCATTGTCACTGAATCATATGCAGCATGATGTAAGTGAACCATTTTGCCAGAATGACCTCCACTTTTTCTCCCCCCATCACCAATGTACCCTTTAATAAAATGCAGAAGGTGGTGTGACAGAAAAAAGGAGAGGAGTGAAATATGACCATTTACCATCGCACAAGAACCCCTCTGTATGAGTCTGGTGCCTGGCATGACCTACATCAACTTTGGTGTCAATGATAATGAAGAACTGAAAACAACATAAATTCCCAATGCACTGGCTCAGTAAACACTCTCAACTATTTGTAGGTTAGAACACCAGGTGGCCAATGAACGTGATATTCTGGAAGAACCAGAATGAGAAAAAAATGGTGCAAAGAGGGAGAAGGGAAGCAAATTCCAAAACACTGGATGCTACATGATCTCCTTTGCAGGACTGATTTTTATATACAAGAATCGTCATTATGATAACTTTTTAAAAGGTCAGTAAAGATTACAGCAAGAGTTGAGAAGTTCTCAGTTCTGGGAAGCAGGATGTGAGGGAACTTGCTTCTTTTTGCTTTCCATTGCTCAAGTGTGGCTGGGTGAAGCTGGGCTGCCTTGGTGAAGGCTGTCTGGGTGAGGGTGGGCTGCCTGGGTGAAGGTGGGCTGCCTGGGTGAGGGGGGCCTGTGTGAGGGAGGCCTGCTGACAGTCGCTTGCATGAGGGCTTTGTAGCAGCAGCTCTTCACTTTAACTCTCTCTATTTACAGACTAGCCTTTCTCTCCTTTTCTACAACACAAATGACATGTTTTTTTTTCCCCCTTTGCAGTCTCCTGTCAGGTTCAAATAAGAATCAGTCTGGCCGGGGAGAGAGGGAAAGTGGGAGGAGAGGGTGCACACCTCTCTGGCAGAAACACAAGGAACAAATAATGGGCAGGAAGCCGCTTGATTAAGAAACCTCAAATCTCTTGTGGCCGGCTAGAGGGCTCCTGCCCTCCCTCTCCTGGCTGCCCTCCCTCTCCCGGCTGTCCTCAAAGCGGCCACTTGCAGAAAGGTCCCTAGCTGGAGTCTTTAACATTCCTGCTTTGCACCTCTGGAGAAAGATGGGTGGGCGGGCGAGGAAGAGACACTTACAGACGTGAGGGACTGGGACGGAGGCCGCCTCCCCGTGGCTTTTGGTCGGCTTGTGGTTGGGTGACTGAGTTTCTCAGTAGATGACACCACAGAGTCAAAACCTTCTAGGTCTAAAAGAAAACAAAACACAGTTTGAAGAGGCAGGAGGGAAGGCTCTGGTTGGATAAGCACTGCTTTGCCATAATGACCCTGCCTGACATTCGAGCACACCTCACCTTTTAGAAAGACTGATTACACCCCTGGGTCAATCATTAAATGCCATTCAAAAGGAATGAAGTTATCATTTCCTCATTGGCTTAACAAGTAGCACAGAGGAGTGAACACGACTTTGCTTTCTCTCTTTAATGATATATTCCGAAATCTTTAAAACATGACAGAGAGACAAGTGAAGGAGGAATCCCTCTTGTTTTCCTCCACAAATCCACATCAACTTTAGAAGCTAAAGTGTTTCTGTAGTCTCAATACAAGAGGCAGTTACCAGAAGGTACAAGAGCCCAGTGGATATCGGTCACCGATTTTGGAAGATTCCTCCTCTGGCTGTGACAGAGTGTGTGGCCCATGGCGAAGGCCCCGTGGGCTCCACTCTGGCACTGGATGCCTTTTGTCCCACCACAGCACTTCACTTGTTTTATGTGTGGTGAAACACAACAAATGTTTTGCCAATTCAACCATTTTACACGTACAGTTCAATGCCATTAATTGCATCCATCATGGTGTTGTCACTGTTTCTAAATGATTTTACAAGCTCAGCAGTGAATCAACTGCCCAGCCCAAACCACTAGGCAGCCCTGGCATCTATGCATTTCCCCATTTAATGTCAGTGGGATCACATCGTATGTGTCTTTTTGTGACAGAATAATGATTTCAAGGTTGACCTGTGGTTTCGGGGCTTACCCTTACAGATGCATGGAATTTCACTGGTGGTATGTATCACAATTTGTTCATCCGTTTGTCTGGGATTCTTTTTAAAAAAATTTATTACAGACTTTGGATTTCCATTCATTCACTGTTGCACTTTGCTCCCTGCCCACCCCTCCCCCTTTTGGGTTTTTTTTTTAATTTTTATTATTTTTTTGTGTGTGTACTGTCAAATCAGATCTGACTGGTACAGGAAGAGATTGTCCCTCCTTCTCCAGCAGAGCATCTGGTGGATTCGAACTGCTCACCTCTGGATTGCAGTGCAGCTTCTCTTGCCACTAGGCCACCAAAGCTTGCCCCATTTGTCTGTTGATGAGTGTCTCGGTTATTCCTACCTTTTGGCTATTGTGGTGAAATGGTGCAGTGAACGCTGGCCATCCTCTGACCACGAGGTTTACCAGAGTCCAACACTCTTGAAGCTGGCACAGCAGAAAAATCCAAGAATGTGGGGTGCTAGCAACCCTGGTAAGCTGGCCACCACCCCAGTTTCTTCACGTGTCAAGTTAATAGACCATTATTTAAGCCACTTCTAAATTCAAATATTCCTTATTTGCAGCTGAAAGCATCCTTGTTGCTATAACTGTACACTGATCATAGCAGAGAGGTTCAAAGGAACAAGAACGGGTTTTCTGCTTGTTTCATTTTTCAGTTAGGGAAGCAAGCTTTGGTTAGTGACAACAACAAGCCGTCTGGATGTGTGACCATCAGCTTTATTCAATTAATAATCTAGGCAGGTGTTGTCTGCAAACTGTTTCCTTCAGTAGATTATGCAAAACCAAGCACAACTCACAGGTCTGGAGAAGCCATCAAATTACACCTGGGATTATATTACATGGCATTATTCTTGCATCTAGTGAATGAATAATTACTCAATTAACTCATCTTAGTAAGTCAAGACAAGTATAACCAAAGGTTAAGTATCTGAAGAAACAACACAAGAAAAATGTCAGTGGTGCATTGAGGCCACGCATCAGCCAATCAGCATCCGGCTCCAGGAAGGCCCCGCCTCTGCAGCTGCGGGCAGAGTCCCCGCAGCGAGGATGGGCCTGTTCAGAGGAGGCTAACTAGGCTGACCCCTCTCAGGGGCCTCCCTTTAGGACAACTGTATTTTCCTAAAAGATCCCTCTTCCAACCCCGGCCCAGGACACATCTCTCCCAACCCCTTGATGCCTGGGGGGAAAAAAAATTCTCCTTTATACATCTAGACTGAGGGAAAGAGCCATCACTTGACAGTCACAGTCAAATTCATTTTTTCACGTCACCTTTTATTTCAAGAGTTCTCCATGCTCAGCGCATAATTTGTATTTGTATTTTATTTTAGTGTGTGTGTGTGTGTGTGTGTGTGTGTGTGTGTGTACCGTCAAATCGGATCTGACCGGTACAGGAGGAGACCGTTCCTCCTTCTCCAGCAGAGCATCTGGTGGACTTGAACCATGCACCTCTGGGATTGCAGTACACCTTCCTGCCACCAGGCCACCAGAGCTCCATAATTTGTATTTTTAAATATTTTAAACTGGAACAGGAAAGGCAACTATACAATCTTACCACCGAGAGATAGCCACTATTAATATTTGACTGTTTTCTTCCAGGTTTTATCCAGGAACCCCTGCTGATGCTACATTCTGTTTATTCCACTTAACATTGTATCCTGTGTCTCCACAAATTCTTCCTAGGTATTATTAACAGCTGCACCATCTTCTATTTCACTGTAATTCATGATTTACTGATTTTACAAGCACTCCTGGGTGGTACTAAGGAAACTGATAGCTACCTGTAAAAGTTGGTGGTTTGGTTCCACCCAGAGGTGGAACCACAGGTTAATGATCTGTAGAGACAATACCAAGGAAAACTTCAGTGGTGCATTGAGGTCAAGGGCCAAAGTGATCCAATTAGGAAAAAATCAACCTTGAGAACCTTATAAAGTAAGGCCATATATATCCAGCATGAGTCACTTTTAAAAATTATTATTGGATTGTTTCCAAATCGTTCCTCCCCTTTTCCTTGCCATCATCAGAAAGTACCCCACCCACTCCCCCAGAGCTGGGGGAGAACAGATCCAGACCAGGATCTGGTTTGCCAGGTGGGGGCGTTGGGGGCTGGTGGACCTGGCTGTTGAGGGCAAGCGGCATAAAGAGGGGTGAAGGAACCCGAGGTGGAGAGACAGGAGAGGGCGAAGCCTGGAGCAGCCACGGAGTTGTCGGAGGAGGAGTGGTGAGAAGGAGCCCTCCAAGGTTCCCACAAAGCAGGGGCTGGGCTGGGAGCCATCAGGGGCAGCAAGGAGTGACCAGTGTCACCATCTTGGTCAAGAAAGTGAAAAACAGGACTGGAGGCAAAATCAGACCAGACAGAGCAATTACAGAACTCTGGAAGCGTAGTGGCAAGAAGCTGCGCTACAGTCCCCAAAGGCAGGGAGTTTGAGACCACCTGTTGATCTGTGGGAGAAGAATGGGCAATCTCCTTCCATGCAATTAACTGCCACTGAAAACCCCCTGGAAGGTCAGCGATGGGTCGGTTCTGAATCGATGGTACACAACAACAACTACAAGTTCTGGGTCACCACCTTGCCTGTGTCCTAGCATTACCTGGACTCTCTCTCTCTCTGTGTGTGTGTGTGTAAACACTGCAGGCTTGATCGCACTCAGAGGTGAACTTCATTGGTCTGCAGCCTGGGCATTGGCCGAGCCTCAATCTCCCGGGTAGGAATCCTGACAGAGCTCAGAAGTGGTGCCCACCTGGGGACTGAGGAGCGGGAGGGGCAAGCCAGGCCTTGGGGAGGGTTTCTGGTGATTGGCAGGGTGCTCTGGGCCCAGCGGGGATAAAGCCAGCTTGGCGCTTGGCAGGAGGCCTTGCATTTATGCCTGAAAAGGGGTGCTCACTCTGTCTGGTAGGCAATGAGGTGCTGGAGTGGTTGGGGACTGTGGTGATGGAAGACTCAGGCCAATGACCAGTCAAATCAAGGATGAGGACTTGGTACGAAGAGGTGGGGAGTGGGGTGGCGATGCAGGGAGGGGAGCGAACGGGGTGGCCTGAGACTCTTGGGATGAACGTGGCCCAGCCACCAGCACACAGGGATCCTGCACTCATACCAAGCAGTATCTGGGCGGGACCACCTCTGCCTTTCCCCTCACTGGCGCACAGCAACGCATTGGGCCCTCCTCCTCGGATGGCAGCGCTGATAGGGTGAGATGGCGACGTAGGATTAAGTACATGGTCACACTGTTGTCCTTGTCAGCTGCTATCAAGTCTGCTGCTACTCATGGCAACGCCAACAGGACAAAGCGCTGCCTGGCACACCCTATCTTTCCAATCACTGTCTTTGCGGCTGTTGTTGGACCCTGGGTGCCTTCCAACCTGGGGCTGGACTTGCAGGGCTTTCGGGATTGGACAATGTTCTATAGTGGTCCCCAGGGCTCTGCTGGCTGAAGGCCTACGTACCCCAGCCTGGCCACCTGCATGATGGGGCTACACAGCAGCCCCCAGAGCATGCTGTTTCCTCCCCCACTCAGGAGCTAGGAGGCCAGTCCTAATCCCTTAATGCAGACCCAGCTGAGAAGGCACTTAGCTCCTATAAAAGTGCCTCTTGGAAACAATGCTCAAACCCAAGTGGCATCAAGAACAAGGCGCATGAGGTCAGAGGCCACGTGCTGGGAAGGTGACCACAGGGTCCCCATCTGTCTCCATACACTGTCTGTTGCAGGCTGTGTGTGCTTCTGCTTTCTAATAGCAGCAGCTCTGAGCCAGGCAGTGAGGGCCTGGCCTTCCCCACTGGGGACGGGGTAGCTGGGACTGAGGCACAGTTTCCATGACTAACCCATTGTGGTGGGAAGAAAACGGCCCAATTTTCATGGTGGTTTTGGCATGCATTAAGCTGAAACTCGAGATGAGCATTCTCAGCCTGGCTGGGAATTTTTCTCTCTTAATAATAAAAATAAAATAAAAAGAAAGGTTTTTACGGCCTTAAGCTAGTCCAAAAGTTTGGGATTGGCCAGTGTAGGGGGATTTTGTTTTGACAGTCTGGTTTCATGACGAGATCTCAGTTTTTGCAAAATGTGGCAAACACATGCTCTGCAGAGCCCCGGGGATAATTCCCAGGAGCATGCAATGCTGTGGCTCCTGAGGAGCCAGGCTCCACGGGGCGTGCTCTCAAAAGTCCAAGCTTCAATCACGCCCTATTTAGTTCAATTAGAGAAGG